GCATTACTGCATAAATGGTATCCAAGAGCAGGGAATATACTATGCAGTGTTATTGCATCGAATGATTGACAAAAGCAGGGCTGTTTCTAGCTAATTTTTAGCTGATGAATGTTGCATTTTGACAGGGGTTGTTGTTTTTAGATTGATGAATGCTACATTTGATAGGGGCAGTCTTCCTAGTTGATGAATGTTGTGTTTGACAGAGACTTGTTTACAATCTCATTTTTTTGTAATTTTATTCTATTGTTGTATTAGTTTGTCACCTTATTCTTCACAAGCAAAACTGTTAACACAGTTTAGCTTCACAGGGGTTGTTAAGATTAAAGTTCAATGGTGATGTTTTGAGGATATAAGATAGTCCAAAGCACTGTCATTTTGAGTAAGTAAGAAGCTGAGTATTCAGCTTCAAAGTGGTGTCGTTTCATGTCTGTAAAATTAGTTATAAAACTGATTCTTGTACTGATTTCAGTTAGTTAGTTTAATGCACAAATCAGATAGCCAAATTCATTTTTGCTTCTTCTTCTTTACTATCAACTGATTCTCACAAACCCTAGCTCTCACAGGAATAGGCTCAAGTTTGAAAGCATTGCAGTTATCTTGTGGTGGAGTTCGCCTAGTCAGGGAGTCCAAAATATTGTTCCTTTTAGAAGGATTGGAGGATACTTGAACTGATGTGATTAAATATATCTAAGACATTTTTGTTAGTAAACGGTCCCGAATACGTAGCGGAAACGAAAAATATAAATAAAATATTTTAGATGCAAATTGTCAAATTATGGAGGGAAAAATGGTCAACCAAAAATTGTAACTAAATTTATTAGTCACTAAAGCAACTTGTTCTGCAACTAACAAAATAGTCGCAGAACATTAACTTTAGATGCCAAAAGTTGGAACATGTGGACCCCAAAATTGAGTTGCTCTTTGTCCGACTAATGGTAATTCAGTTGGTAAATGTAGCCTTTTTGCAACTAATTCTGGTTAGTTGCTAAAAAAATGGTTGCAGAATGTCATTTTTCTTGTAGTGGTTAATAATACTTTCTTGAATGGTGAGCTTAATGAAATTGTATATATGGAACAACCTTGTGGTTTCATTGATTAGCATAGAGTTTCTAGTGTTTGCAAGCTGAATAAGGCTTTGTATGACCTTTAACAAGTTCTTAGAGCTTGGTTTGACAAGTTAAAAGCAGCTCTGATCAGTAAAGGATTTCATAATTCAGTATCTAATTGTAGTCTCTTTGTGCATAAGGAAAACAATCTGGTTACATATGTCTTGATCTATTATGATGATATTCTTCTTACTGCCAACATTGACTTTGTTCATCAATTGGTGAAACAACTGAATGACAAATTTGCCTTGAAAACACTTGGTTCTTTACATTACTTCCTTGGCATTGAGGTCACTAGAAATGCAACTGGGATTCATCTCAAACAAACCAAATATGCAACTGATTTGTTGCTTAAAAACAAAATGCTTGAGGCCAATCCTTGTTCTACTCCCATGGCATTTGGTACTAAATTGTTTCTCGAAGATGGTGCACTGTTTGACAATCCTAATCTGTTTTGAAACACCATAGAAGCCTTGCAATACTTGTTTCTTACTAGACTTGATATTAGTTTTCCTGTTAATAAACTTAGTCAATTCCTTCAAGCTCCCACTGATTTGCAGTGGCAAGCATGTAAGAGAATTTTAAGGTATCTTAAAGGTACTACCAGCCATGGTTTGCTCTTTAGACCAGCAGTTAGTTTAAACATAGAATGTTATGCTGATACAGATTAGGGCAGTAGCATTGCAGATAGGAAATCCACCAGTGGATATTGTGTATTTTTGGGTCCTAATTTGATTCAATGGAGCTCTAAAAAACAGAGAGTAGTTGGCTTATCATCCATTGAGGCAGAATACAAGACATTGGCACAAACATCTACTGAAGTATCTTGGTTACAAAGTTTATTTTCTAAATTGGGTTTAACATTTGACAAATCTCTAGTTGTTTGGCGTGATAATGTTAGTGCGGGGGCCTTGGCAGCAAATCCAGTTTTCCATGCCAGGACAAAGCACATTGAGATTGATGCTCATTATATCCATGAACAAGTTCTGGCCAAGAAACTTGCAGTTCAATATGTTCCCTCCAAGTTACAAATTGCAGATATTTTGACAAAAGCTTTGTCAATTTCTCAATTTCTTAATTTAAAGCAGAAACTGAATGTTATTGATCAAGGTACAAGCAGCATTAGTTGATCAAGTTGCTTTGGATGAGTAAGTTTGGCTTATTAAGACTTGAAGCTATGAAGATAAAGATTGCTTGTGTTGAGTTCTTAAGCTGTGAAAGTTACAGTTGTTAAACTGTGAAGTTGTTTTGTAAGCTGTGAAGTTGCAGTTATAGTTTTACTGTGAAGTCGCAGTTATAGTTTTGCTATGAAGTTTGAAATACAGCTTTGCAGTTGTGAAGTTGCAGTTATAGTTTTGCTGTGAAGTTGTTTTTGTAAGCTGTGAAGTTGCAGTTACAGTTTTACTGTGAAGTTGGAATTACAGCTTTCAAGTTGTGAAGTTGCAGTTTTTTTTTAGTTGACGAAACTGTACAAATGAAGTTGATAGTGTTAGCTGAGATCATTTTGACATTGAAGTTAGAATTGTTAACAGAAGTTACTTCTTTTAAGTTGATTAGCTGAAGTTGCAGTTGTGAAATTGAAAGGTTGCATAAAAGTGCAGATGTGAAGATGTGAAGCTGTGAAATTGTGAAATTGCAATTGTGCAATTATGAAGTCGAAATTTGCAAGTTTGAAGTTGTAAATAGCTGATCAACTTGTTGTGAGGTGTTGGTCTCAATTGGCAAGTTTATTTGACAAGGGCTATTAAGATACATATTACCAAGGTGAAATTGTAAATGCAGTTTAGCTTTACAGGCGCTGTTGGACAAATATTACCAAGCTAAAACTGTAAGTACAGTTTAGCTTGACAGGGGCTGTTAGACAAACGGTGACGTTTTTAGAAAGCTTAAAGTGCTGTCATTTTTGTGTTGTAATAATCAGCTATTGAAGCTGACTTTTGTAAACACTTTATTCATTCATTGTAACACTGTTCACTTTATCGAATACAACCAGAAAGTTTCTTTTTCTCCTTTCTTCTCTGATTTTTGCTCTCAAATCCCTAACCTTCACAATTGTTACCTATGAAAGCGAGCATAACCACTCAAGGTTACCATCACAATTGGCAAACACATAAATTAACCTCAAGGAAAGCTACATCCGATCACTTCAAGTCATTGGTGTTCAATTTATAGGAACCTTATTTATGTTTGGCTTGAATTGCTCCTGTACATATTTTTCAAAGGTTCAAGCATGGGACATACTTGGAGTGGTTTTTTTTTTTTTGGCTTGGAGAGCTGGCTTTTTAAGACTTTTTTTCACAATGTGGCTGTGGGCTTCATTTCTATGTGTTGAACCAAAGAAAATGTGGGATTGGGATTTCAAAGTGTAAGAACTTTTTCATCTTTAAAAGGAAATTAGTGCTTTAAACAAGTTAAGAATTTTTTTGCAATGCATGGAATGATGTGAATGTGTTATTGACAAATTTAGGAAATAAAAATGCTATGCTAATAGGGCTACATCAACTTTTGTTTTTTTTTTTCTTGGAAGATCTTAGCCCCTGGATTCCAAATCCCAGGGCCGAGCCAAACCTGGTAACATTACAAGAGGGACAGTTTTATCAATAGTGGGGTCACTCACACTTTGCAGGTGCGTTTCATTGCTAGAAAGGCAGTGTGTTTTATGTGGAGAAATAATAGTTGATGAATTAGGTGATTTTAACATGTAACTGGGGAAGAACAAATTTGGTCGAAGTTCAACATAATTAAAATTTCATCATAATTAAGATTGTGATATGGAAAACGGGGAAGAAAATGAAGAGGATGGGGAGGGATTGTATCAATGCAATATAGACAACATGACAACTTTGAGAGATAACATAACTAGTGATATATGGGTTCAACATCTATCCATGATGGAATATTTGTGTAAGGATTTTAAGAATTGATTACAAGTAGCTTCCTATTATTAATTTAGATATGTATTAATGCATTATGAACTTACTATAATGTAATTTTTTTTTTTAAATTTAGTGATAAAAAAATTACCAAACAACTATTTAATGTTATTTAAACTGGAAAAAAAAAAAAAAATTCAAGATCAAATAATATTTTTAGAAAATGTACCAAATAACTATTCTGTCTTAAAAACTTTTTTTTTTTTTTTTAAATATACCAAACAATTATTTAACATTTTATTCAACTCTGATATAATTTTTAGATATTTTACCAAACATATTTCAAGTCTGATTCGATTTGATTTAACTCAACTTAAAACACTTTTGTTAGAATAACTTTTATAAAAAAGTGTAACAAACCGGCCAAAAATTTGCAATAATCAAGTAAAAAAAATAAAAATTAATTAATTAATTAAGATGTGTCCTCCCTAAGTTTTTTACCCTAATGTTTCGCAAGAAGGTCAACGTCTTTATCATTAAATTTGACTTTATGACTTCCACAAGTCAAAAAGAAAAAGAACAACTAATTCTTTTTTATTTTCTGTCTGATAGAAATTTCACAATAACTTCCGTTGTAGAATTTATAGTGACCTGTATAAACTATAAAGACCTTGACCTTCTATTCATTTTAAAAATTCATAAAAATGAGTTATTAAAAAATTATTTATGCTTACTGTTTAAAGTTATAAACTGTGCATGCTTTTGAACTTATACAAAAGTAAACAAAGGACTGTAATCCTTCTGATTTTGTGTTTTTATCTTAACAAAATAAAAATGAGTTTTTCCAGCTGCGAGTTTCTATTATCTATTTTGACTTGATTTGATTTCATATTGTTGAAAGGTGGAAGTTTCTATAACGTTTAATATCTGGAATCAATTGAACAGAGCTTTCTTGATAAGGTTATATATGTAACACGGAAGAGCTAACAGATGACAAGTTGAGCTTTAAGCAGCTTTATAAATGGTGCCCAAAGTTATCATGACTGTTGTTTTCTATATTTTCCTCTCTCTACAATTGCGCCTTTCAATAGCGCAAACGAATTGGATCGGGGTTGGTTATTACTTGTATTCATCAGAATATGAAAGCCCCATTTCGGACATAAATTCTGCTCTCTTCACTCACATTATTTGTGCTTATGCTGCTGTGAATTCAACGTCCTACCAGCTCTCTCTATCACCAGCTGAAGAGGAACATTTCTCCAACTTCACACATACTGTGAAACAGAAGAACCCATCAGTCACGACACTGCTATCTGTTGGGGGTAAAGATACAAACTATTCAACCTTTTCTTCAATGGTAAGCAATTCTTCTCACAGAAAAACCTTTATTGATTCCACAATAAAAATAGCCAGACTTTACGGTTTTCTAGGCCTAGACTTTGCTTGGCATTATCCAAGCACAAGCTCAGATATGTTCAATATGGGAGTTCTCTTTCAACAGTGGAGAGCTGCTATTGGTTTAGAGGCGACGGTCTCTCAACAGTCCCAACTGATCTTGACAGCAAGGGCTAAATATTCACCATCGCTGCCCTCAGGTGCACGCTACCCTATAGAGACGATGCAACAACATTTGAATTGGGTCCATGTTGTGTCTCAGGTTTACACTCAACCTATTTTAAATAACCTTACGGGCGCTCATGCAGCTCTGTATGACCCAAGTAATTTTGTTAATACGGATTTCGGTATAAGAGAATGGATCAACGGAGGATTATCAGCTAATAAATTGGTTTTGAGTTTGCCTTTTTTTGGCTTTGCATGGACACTAGAGAACCCTTTGAACAATGGTATTGGTGCTTCAGCAAAGGGACCTGCCATTAAATTACCAGTTGGAGGGGTAACCTATAGGGAAATCAAGAACTACGTTGAGCAATATGGTCCTGCTGTTCATGTTAGGTACAATTCAACTTATGTGGTAAATTACTGGACAAAAGGAACAACTTGGATTGGGTTTGATGATGTTGAGGCTATAAGAGCTAAGGTTTCTTATGCCAAGGAGAAGAAGTTACTTGGCTACCATGTGTGGCAAGTCTCCTATGATGTTAATTGGGTGCTTTCTAAAACTGCAGGTAAGCTATGATCAAACTTAACAAAGTACTCAGTATTTGCAATTTATTTTTTCCGTCCTATCCATTTGAATTAAGAACCTTATCTCACTTGTAGTTAACATAAATTGATTATTTTTCCAGCTGGAGTAGACATAAATAATTCTTCAGTTCAGGAGTATAATAAAATTGGACAAAAAAATAAGAGGCCTTTGTTAGTAATCGTTCTGTCTACAATGGCTGCTTTTGCTCTTCTATTTGGAATATTTGTGATATTTTACGTCTGCTGGAGGAGAAATCTCAAATTTAAAGGTTAGTTTCTCAGAATCTATAGAGTACTTTCGTTTAAAACTGACTAATGACTGCCCAATTTTGTTTACAATTTAATAAGTTAGCAGTTTAATTTTTTTTTCACCATTTTTTTCTTCTCTTGGTGGACTCCACTAAAGAATCCAGAGATAAAGCAAGTAAAGTAGCATCTGCAGGGGATTTTAATAGCAACATTCCTAATCTGATAGAATATACTTTGGCTGATATAGAGGCAGCAACCAATGGATTTTCTTTTGAAAATAAGCTTGGCCAAGGTGGATATGGTCCTGTTTACAAGGTACCTTTTATTATGCTATATATATATCGTTTATTTTGAGAAGTGATACAAAGTCAATAATACAAAGTCTTATTTTTATTTTTCAAGGGAATGCTACCAGATGGACTAGTAATAGCAGCTAAAAGACTTTCAAAAACATCCATGCAAGGATTTGAGGAATTCAAGAATGAGGTTATGCTTACCGCCAAGCTTCAACATGTAAATCTTGTCTGAGTTTTGGGTTTTTGTATTGACCAGGAAGAACAAATACTCATCTACGAGTACATGGAAAATAAAAGCTTAGACTCTTACCTTTTCGGTCAGAATTTCATGTTCAATTTTTATACATCGACTTGTCATATTGTTTATCCTTTTGTATAATATACTTTAGCAGTTGTATGATTGACGGTTAGTTTATGACTGAATTTGATGCAGACCCCGTTAAACGCTTTATTTTGGATTGGGAAAGGCGTGTGCATATTATTGAAGGAATTACTCAAGGGCTTTTATATCTCCAAGAATATTCAAGGTTGACTATCATTCATCGAGATTTAAAAGCTGGCAATGTATTATTAGATAGAGAAATGAAACCTAAGATATCAGATTTTGGAATGGCTAGAATATTTGATAAAGATGATTTTGAAGTAAACACAAGTCACATTGTTGGAACACGGTAAGTATATTATCTTAATTCTTTTATAATTTTTAGGATTTTTCTAATTTAACATATACATTTTTGTTTGTTAGTGACTCTTTGAAACAATTTGATGCAGTGGTTATGTTCCTCCTGAATACATCCAAAACGGCAAATACTCAACTAAATCTGATGTTTATGCTTACGGAGTTCTACTTCTACAAATCATCAGTGGCAAAAAGATTTCATTTTTATATGGTTTGAATGAAAATCTGAGTCTTCTTGACCATGTAAGTTTAATTTTTTTATATAATTCATTCAAATTATATGTGGATGAAAATATTAGCACTGGAATGAGCTTGACAATTCCAAATTATTTGAAAATTTCAGGCATATCAGCTATGGAAAGATGGTAAAGGCATGGAATTAATGGATGAATCACTAGACGATACGTATTCATCCTGCAAATTGATGACATGCTTGCAAATAGCTCTTTTATGCGTCCAGGAAAATTCAATTGATCGACCATCTATGTTGGAAGTTTCTACGATGCTGCTAAAAAATGAAAACAAAAATATAATGATTCCAAAGAAGCCTGCCTTCTCAAATCAAAATGAACAAAATAAATCTATAGGTCAGTTGCAAGGTTATTCAGGAAGTACTTTATCAATCAATGACGTAACAATCTCAGATCTTGGAGGCAGATGATTTGTATGATGTCACTTTCGAAATTGATAATTTGGGTCCTGGAATTCTGGCAAACTAGAAAGTATTAATTCCATTGCTGCAGAGTGGGTTAAATTTATTAGGTGTAGTTTTGTATTACCCTGTTCATATTAATCTTGAGCTAAGTACAGCAAATGATATCACTGAAAACATCATTGTTTCTCTAAATTCTCAATAACATTAAGCAAAAATCAGTGAAACACAAAGCACTGCACTTGGGCAAACGTGTAGAAGCAGATCATAAACCAAAAATGTGCATGTAAAGGTACCTTCTGTACGTACAATCAGATATATAATGCAGACAGAACTGAATAAGTAACTGTGTTTCATCTGAACGTCTAACTAACTGTTTCTTTTAACTTGCTCCCCGCACCGTTTGTCCAGTTTATGGTTAGATTTAACACAAAGAGGGTAAATGGCTAAATGATTAATAATTTTTTAATTAAAAAATGATTTAAGCATGCCATGATGGTGGACTTCCGAGGCCACAGTAGCGGCCTTAAGCAATACAGCAATGGTCCAATATTGAAGCTCCCACTGATGCCTTTAACTTCTGCAGAACTAGCATCTGCAGAAAAAAATGGAATCTCTAGTTAATCTAAAGGTGCCTCCTGAAAGTATAATCAGATTCCTTAACAAATTTGCTAATGCCTGTGAAGATTTAAAAAAAAAAAAAATTGCCCAATTCTATGCCAGGACACATTAAGGAATCAAGAGACTTGCGGGCCGCCCCCTCTGCCCCATGGACCCTTCGAGACAACCATCCTGTTCCAGGATAAACCAGATACAAGATTTTCTTACTAGTTTAAAAAATTGCACGCAGTCAGTATTGAATATATAAATCACACTCAAAATCTTCCAGGCCCAACTATATTACTGGGGGATTTTGAGGAAGGCAATCCAAGGGTTAGTAATAGGGGCCATTATTTTTCTCCAACATCGTAGGCTGCCAAACCCAAATTTTTCTCGGTGAGTGGATTCCTATCATACATCAAAGGGTTTCATAAATTTTGTACCACGACAAAATTTATAGGTCCACCACTAATTAGATCCACTATAAATATCAAGGATGAATCCAGAGATTTCTATTGAGGTAGACCAAAATAAAAACTAATTACATATTCATATTTTTATCTATTAATATTTTTATTAGGGTAAACCAAAATTCAGAAATCGTACATATTAATATTTTTTTTTTTAAATTTGAGGGTGAGTCATGTCTCATGTCTCATCCTCAACTAATACTGCATTTGCCCCTATATATATATATATACACTAAGAACTAGCTGGCTTTTTTTTTTCTTCTCTTAAATGTAAATGTAATTAATTTTGGTAGATTAAAATGTTTAAGGTTTGTTTGTTTATCATATGTAACTTAAAAGCTTAAGATATTAATTAATAATAATTTTCTTAAACTAATTAATCAATATTAAATAAAATTTAATTTTGATAAACTTAAAAGTACGTACATGATCTGGCTAAATTAAACATTGACTTGTGGTTTTGATGATTTTTTTTATTAAAAAAAAAAAAAAAAAACTGTAAAAATTAAAAATCTTTTAAACATTTAAAAATAAAAAAATTGTGTAAAAATTTGGTGAATTGGCTAATTAGAGACGGATTAGGGTATCTAGCTAGTAAATTCGGCCCAAAGAAGAATTCTCTTGTGGATTCCGAAATTTTTGCGTTCTCTTTTGTTTACCGTGTAAACCGGGGAAGGTGATAAAGAATTTGAGGACTAGAAAGGTCAGAGGAGCTTAAAAATTAAACTGTGTGTATATGAGTTTACATAACAAAGAAGAATAAAAGAGTTGGAGACAAAAAGCAAAACAATGACAGTGGTGATGTTGCTTTTATTGGTCGTGTTTGCAGCTACTTTTCAAGAGCGTTTCTCAACGGATCCTCATCAATCTGGCTCCGGTGCTGCCAAGGACAGGATCAAGGTTGGGGATGGTGCCAGGGAATTGTCTGACTATGGGCCTCCTCAAAACACAAGAGATAATGCTCATACTGGCAGTGGCAAGTCCAGGGGAGAAAGGTTAATATAATAAACAATTATTTATTAAGGACATAGACTCCTCAAGGTTTTATGCAAAAATCTCCCTACCATTGGTTTTACGTTGTTAAGCGGTGGAGTAGAACCAGAATCAGTCGCCATTGACATTAGTCACTGCTCTGATACCAAGTCAAAGTTAAGGAAAGAAACGAGAAAAACCAGAAAATGCCAAACTGATTTACGGTGTTTGATTAAGAAGCAAAGTAGTTACAGACTGTTTATATACATAGAGTCTTATACAAAACGACACCGTCTTGTCTATAGCCTATTACAATTGTGACCCTATTGACTTATGGGTCAACAGTGAGAAACTACTTTTACCAAGAGTCATGTGAACTCTGCAATTGGCATGGCACTCGTTAATTCTAGCTGCCATGGTTGTTCACTCTGTTGATGTTTGAATGCAAAAAGTCGGATAAATAATACTAAATGTGTATAATCATTCTCTATCAATGCCCAAAAATGAAACTGCGCAATATAATCATTCTGCAGAAGCCTGCTTTCTCGAAAATTACAATTGACAGTATGTGCCGGCCATTGAAATAGAATCGACCGAGATCAGGTTACAGACTATATATCTTTCTAAGCCCCGCCATAGTCCAAATTCAGACAAATTAAAAGTTAAGCTCAAGGTAAGGCTTTGTCTCAAATTTTGCACTTCTTCTAAAACAGGCGGATAAACAAATTGCTGTCTTTGTAATTGTAAATTGTTTCATAGTGTGACAAAGGAATATTTTTGATCCAGTGTCTAAATAATATCCTGGGAAGAGATTTGGCCGGGACTAAAACAGCCCTTAATAGTTTATAGTTAAATCCGCCCATAATCTTTTACATATTTGAGAGTACGTGGATACATAAGCACAAAAAAGAAAAAAAAATCATATATATAGTTCATCAATTCATCTCTGAAATGAACAGGATAACATTACACAAAGTTACACTTGAAGGTGAGAATGATATCCAAGAGTATCATTCTTGCATTTCACATTTTTTTTTTCTTTACAATTGAGTCCTTCAATGGGGGAGACTTGGATCAGAGCTGGATATCACAAGTATGATTCAAAATATGAGTCTGAGTTTCCCGTTTCTGAAATAAAATCCTCCCTCTTTACTCATATTATTTGTTCCTTTGCTGATGTCAATTCAACCTCCTATCAGCTTTCTTTGTCACCTGAAAAATACTTTTCCACCTTCACAGAAACTGTCAAACAAAAGAACCCGTCAGTCACTACACTCCTGTCCATTGGAGGTGGTGGAGTAAGTAATATTAATTCAACATTTTCTTCGTTGGCAAGCAATCCTTCTTCCAGAAAATCTTTCATCGACTCTTCGATAAAATCAGCTAGGCTCTATCAGTTCCAAGGCCTGGACCTGTCTTTGTATCCTGGACAATTAGGCTCTGATATGTTTAATATGGGAGTTCTCTTTAAAGAGTGGCGACAGGCTATCGCTTTAGAGGCAACAATCTGCAGAAAGTCACAACTGATCTTAACAGCATCTGTTGATTATTCGCCATCGACACCTTCAAGAAGTTACCCGGTAGACTCAATAAAAAAAAATTTGGATTGGGTTCATGTTGTAGCTGCTAGGTACACAAATCCTGAATGGAGTAACTTTACGGGGGCTCATGCCGCTCTGTATGATCCAAGTAGTTCTACTAATACTGATAACGGTATAAGGCAATGGATTGAACAAGGATTACCAGCTAATCAATTGGTTTTGTGTTTGCCTTTCTATGGCTTTGCATGGACGCTAAAGAATCCTGAGGACAATAGTTTTGGTGCAGCAGCAACCGGACCAGCTATTTTTGTTAATTCAACACGTGGATATATGCCCTACAAGGCAATCAAGAATTACATTGCGGAATATGGTTCGAATGTACTTATAATGTACAATGATACTTATGTGATGAATTACTGCACAATGGGGACATATTGGATTGGTTTCGATGCCGTTGAGGCTATCAAAAAAAAGGTTTCTTATGCTAAGGATAAAGGTTTACTTGGTTACTATGTGTGGCTAGTCTCCTATGATTTGAATTGGGAGCTTTCTGAAGCTGCTGCAGGTAATCAGCAAATGCTAGCTTCACTTGTTGTAATCTTCTTAATCATTTCTCCACATAACACTATCGCATAAATTATCTGATATTTATTTAATTCTGTAGAGAGTCATAAGCCTGGAATGAACAAGAGGCGTCGGCTAGTTATCGTTTTGACGACAATAGCGGTTGTTATTCTTCTGCTTGGAATATTGTCGATGATCTATTATTGCTGGAAGAAAAAGCTGATCAAATTACAATGTAAGTTTTGACTTTCAGGTCATATAAGTATTCAGTTATATGTGATAAATCAGTGAGGATTAATTTCCGAATTTTGATACGGTTTATTTTAATTTATCTTGGCTGATAGTTATAGGGAGGATTGTGGACATGGCTAAACGATCCAAGGATAAAGAAAACAGAGCGAAAGCTAATGACGATTTTAGTAGCTGTGTTCCTAATCTAAAAGAGTATACTTGGACTGAGATTGAGGCAGCTACCAATTGCTTTTCAACTGAAAATAAGCTTGGACAAGGTGGCTATGGACCTGTTTACAAGGTGACTGATATATAATAAACAATCTATTCATAAATTTGGAAACGATATTGTTCTGACGCTTTGGACTCTTCATTCTTCCATTAGATATATTTTTGGCAGGTTATATATGGTATTTTTATATTAGGCTATATTAAATAATTAATAATCATTACAACGGGTAAGGCTAAAAATATTTTCTGATTAGGTGTCAATTCTTGCTTTATTTAATAAATTTATCTCGTTTCATTGAGGGATACCCAAAAGAAAAATAAATAAATAAATAAATAAGTAAAAGATACTAACTATATGAGTGTACTTGGCTAGGGTGTATTACCTGATGGGCAAGAAATAGCAGTGAAGAAACTTTCGAAAACATCAACACAAGGATTTTAGGAATTCAAGAATGAAGTTATACTTACGGCAAAACTCCAACATGTAAATCTTGTTGGAATTTTGGGTTATTGCACTGACAAAGAAGAGCATATGTTGATCTATGAATATTTGAAAAATAGAAGCTTGGATTATTATCTTTTTGGTATGGGTTTCTATTGGTAAATTTAGCATTCATTTTAAATTTCTTCCTTTTTTATTTCAACCCAAATAATGGTTGCAATTGTTGATTCTTCATAATTAAATTTGATGCAGACCGATGTAGCCAACTTACTTTGAATTGGAAAAAACGGGTGCACATCATTGAAGGGATTACTCAAGGACTCTTATATCTCCAAGAATATTCAAGATTCACTATTATTCACCGAGACCTTAAAGCTAGTAATGTTTTATTAGACGAAAACATGAAGCCTAAAATATCAGATTTTGGTATGGCTAGAGCTTTCGCAAAAAGTAATCTTGAAGCAAACACAGGAAAAATTGTCGGAACATTGTACGTTGATTTCCTCTTTGTGTTGCTACAAACATAGGTTCTTATTAGCCTTGCATTAAAGGTATATAGATTATTATTAATTGTTTGTGATCATCCAGTGCAACGGCTATGTTCCTCCTGAGTACCTTGAAATGGGCATATACTCTACCAAATCAGATGTTTATAGTTTCGGTGTTCTACTTCTAGAAATCATGAGTGGGAAAAAAGTTTCCATTTTATATGCCACTGAAAATGGAAAATTAAACCTTCTAAAGTATGTAAGTTTCTCCATTGACCCTTACTAGAGTATTTTGTATCAAAATTTAGAGTCTAATTTGAATTACAAGGTAACTGAGATTAGATATATAATTTAATTTCAGGCATATGAGTTGTGGAAGGATGGAAAAAGCACGGAGTTTATGGATCCATCACTTGATGATACAGATTCGTCATGTAAATTAAAGAGGTGCTTGCAAATAGCTTTGCTTTGTGTCCAGAAAAATCCAGATGATAGACCATCTATGTTGGAGGTTTTCTCAATGCTAAAAAATGAAACAATAGATATGATGATTCCAAACAAGCCTGCAGTTTTTTGGAAACCGAATGATGGAAACCAACAAAATGATGCTACTGCACAGTCAGAGAATTTTACAAGAAGCAATTCTATTAACAATGTAACACTTACAGAAGTAGGAGCTAGATGAATTAGTGTAGGTTTAAGAAAAAAAATATATTATTGTGATGTGGCATTGATTTATGCCTACATGGAAGTCAGAATTATAACTTGGGTGGTCAAAGTTATATTATTAAAAGCAAAGGGGCGTTTGAGGAATTTTTGAATTGAGGTTTTATGTAACCTAACCTAAATTGGTTTGGTCGATTGTGGGTGTGCTCCATTCTCAATCTTTCTCTCTTGGTTACAGAGAGAGAAAGGTTGTTACAAATGGTTGAGCTAGAACCTTGAAGATCATTGATGGGATCAAACGGTGTTGGTAGGTTTAGTTTGTTTTTTTTATTCCTCTCTCTTTGTGTATAAAAATGTCCATTAACTTCTGGTTTTTGATATGTATGAGAAGTGAGGAACATCTGGGTTTTTCGAGTGTACTATAAGGGGGTTTTTTCTCAAGATTCTTTGTGTAAATAAGAGAGCTGCAATCTTTGTAAGGTTTCCTTTTTCTCATAGTGAAATTTTCTTTACTGCCCTGAAGAGTCGATGTAGGTAATTGAATTGATTACCGACCACTATAATTCCTTGCGTACAGTTTTGTCTTCTGCTCTTTTTCTTTATATTTTTATTTGTGTATTTGCCACTGATTAGAAACTTAGGGTTGCTTGTTTTGCTTTATTCGGATATCTCATGTTCTACTAGTGGTATCAGAGCTAGGTTCAGTCTAGGTTGTGAGATTATTTTTTCGAATTTGTGGTTGTCTTGGGTTAGATCTGAAATTACAGTTGCGATTTCTTGACTTAGGGTTTCTCTAAGTCTTGAGTTGTTTTTGGGGCTTTCACACTCCTAGTAACTATGAGGTTTCGGAACCTAGATATGTCTAAGTTTGAGGTAGAAAAATTCATAGGGGTAATGATTACGGGTTATGGAAGATGAAGATGAAGGTTGTTTTAGTTAAGGATGGGTTGTCTACTACTTTGGAGGGTGAGGATAGCTTACCAGGGTCTCTATTCGAGAAGGTGAAGAAAGATTTGTTAGATAAAGCTCATAGTACTCTAATTCTAGGTCTGGGGGATAAAGTCCTAAGAGAGGTTAAGAAAATGATCACACCAGTAAGGGTTTAGGAGAAACTAAACTCTCTATACTTGTCAAAGTCTTCTCCTAATATACTAGTTTAAAAACAGAATTTTTTTGGTTTTGAAATGGTTGAAAACAAATCATTAGGAGAAAATATGAATGACTTCATGAAGTTAGTACAGGATTTATAAGGTCTTAGTGTTACAGTTGAAGATGAGGATCAAGCTGTGATACTCATTAATTCATTACCCAAAATGTATTCAAATTTCATTGACACCCTTAAGTATGGTAAACACACTCTCAATCTAGATGAAGTAGTACTAGCCATTACTGCTAAGGATGTTGAATTCAAAAAAGAAGGTAAGCTAGATGGAGAAGTGCTTCATATTAGAGGTAGATTTGAGAAGAAGGTGTTTAAGAAAGATTACTCTAGAGATAGATCTAAGTCCAAATCCAAGTTTTTGAGGAAGTGTTTCCATTGTCATAAGGAAGGGCATTTCAAGAAAGATTGTCCAGATGGAAAGAAGAGGTTAGGAGAAAAAGAGGCTAATGGCAGTGTAGATATAGCCTCTGATGGATATGAAAGTTCTGATGTCTTGATAGCTTCTGATAGAGAATCTGACTCTGAGTGGATTTTAGATTTTGGATGTACCTTTCACATGACTCCAAATAGGAGTTTTCTAATGAATTTTAAGAAGTTAGAATCAGACAAGGTTCTAATGGGAAATAATGCAGTATTTAATGTCTTAGGTATTGGAGATGTCAAGTTAAACCTTCATGATGGCAGTTCCTGAGTTCTTATAGAAGTTAGGTTTATACCTAAGTTGAAAGGAACTTAATCTCCTTAGGCAGCTTAGACTCAAATGGGTTTAGCTATAAGGCTCAAGGTGGAGTCCTTAAGGTCACTAAAGGATCTCTAGTAGTAATGAAAGGAGAGAAAAAGAATGGTTTATATGTTCTAGTGGGTCAACTATTACTGGAACAGCATCAGTGTCTTCACAAAAGCCAAATAAGACTTCTATATGGCACAAAAGATTGGGACACATTAGTGAGAGATGCTTGATAGAGCTAAGTAAGCAAAATGTCTTAGGAGGGGATAAAATAGAGAAATTGTCCTTCTGTGATCATTGCGTTTATGGAAAAATGAGTAGAATTAGATTTAATGTTGGAAAACATTGTTCTAAATCTATTCTTGATTATATTCACTCTAATGTGCGAGGGCCTACAAAGTATCCTTCTTTGGGAGGCTATAGATTCTTTATTAGTATAATTGATGACTTTTCTAGGAAAGTCTAGATCTATTTCTTGAAGAATAAATTAGAGGCCTTTAGGAAATTTAAAGAATGGAAGGTTATGATAGAAAATCAAACTAGGAAGAAAATTAGGAAACTTAGAATAGATAATGGGTTAGAATTTATCAATGAAGAGTTTGATAGTTTATGCAGGGAAAGTGGAATTCTGAGGCATAGAACAGTAAGGCACACACCCCAACAAAATGGCCTAGTAGAAAGATGAATAGGACCATTTTAGAGAAAGTCAAAAGCATATTATCTTTTGCTAAACTACCCACTAGATTCTGGGCAGAGGCTGCCCACACTGCTATTTATCTAATAAATAGAATACCTTCATCAACCATTGATTTCAAAACACCCATAGAGAAATGGTCTGGACATCCTGCCAATTATAGTAACCTAAGAGTTTTTGGTTGTACTGTGTTTGTGCATGAAAAATCTGATAAGTTATAACCAGGGTCTATTAGGTGCATTTTTCTAGGTTATCCTAATGGAATAAAGGGTACAAATGTTGGGATATTGTAGGAAAAAAGTGCATTGTCAATAGAGATGTTAAATTTAATGAGGATGAATTGGGTGGTTTGAGTCAGAAAGAGAGTGATTGTACAGGTAGGATAGAGGTGATTAACCTAGATCTAGGTGGAGAAGTTTCAAATCTTAATAATCCTCATTCAGATTATCAACAAGAAAACTCTCATACTCAGGTGGATGAACCTAGCTTAGATGATAATGATGGTGATGAAAATGATTTACAAAATTATCAATTAGCTAGAGATAGAGAAAGAAGGCAAATCAGACTACCTAGTAGATACTCACATGCTGATATGGTTGCCTTTGCCCTTTAAGTCGCTGAAGAGATTGATGAGGAACCTAGAACAATTAAGAAAGCCATGAATAGTAGAGATTCTAGGCAGTGGAAACTGGCCATGCAAGAAAAGTATGATTCCTTAATAAAAAATTAGACCTTGGTTCTTATTAACAAACCTAAAGGTAGTAGGGTAGTTAAATGTAAATGGGTTTTCAAAAGGAATGAGGGTATACCAGGGGTAGAAGCACCTAGGTTTAAAGCTAGGTTACTGGCAAAAGGCTTCACACAGGTTAAAGGAGTTGACTAAAATGAGATTTTCTCACCAGTTGTGAGACATACAACTATTAGAATCCTTTTATCCTAGGTAGCTCAATTTGGTTTGGAACTAAAGCAATTAGATGTCAAAACAACGTTCTTAAATGGTGATTTAGAAGAGAAAATTTTGATGGAGCAGTCTGAGATGTTTGAAAGAGGGTCTAAAAACCAAGTCTGTCTTCTGAAAAAATCCTTGTATGGGTTAAAACAATCACCTAGGCAGTGGTATAGAAAGTTTGACAGTTTTATGGTGAGTGCTGTTTTGTTAGAAGTAGCTTTGATGGTTGTTTCTATTGCAAATGTTTGTATGGTGAATGTTATATCTATCTAGCATTGTATGTGGATGATATGCTTCTAGCTTGTCAAAATCCTTTTGAAATTGTTAGATTTAAAGGAGAGATGAGTAGGCAGTTTGAAATGAAAGATTTGGAGCAAGCTAGAAAGTTCCTAGGTATGAATATTGAAAGGGATAAGAGAACTGGAAGACTTATGTTATCTCAGAAAGAATATGCTGAAAAAATCATAAAGAAGTTTAACATGTGTGACTGTAAACCTGTTAAAACACCTTTAGGTTAGCATTTTAAACTAAGTGCAATCCAGTGTCCAGAAACAGAAGAAGAAAGGAGGGAAATGGCCTGCATTCCTTATGCAAATGCAATAAGGAGCTTGATGTATCTGATGGTCTGTACAAGACCAAATTTGGCCTTTGTAGTCAGTTTTATAAGTAGATTTATGAGTAACCCTAGAAAGAGTCATCGGGAAGTTGTTAAATGGATTCTCATATATGTCAGGGGTACACTATCCATTGGTATTGTTTATAGTAGAGGGCAAAATCAGGTGAATCTCATTGTAGGGTGTGTTAATGCTGATTATGCTGGAAATGTAGATAATAGAAAATCCATGACTGGTTTATGTTTTTCTATATGGGATAATTTGGTTTGCTAGAAGGCTAACTTGTAGGCAATAGTTACTCTGTCAACTACAGAGGCAGAATATGTTGCAATTACAAAGGCATCAAAAGAATCAATTTGGCTCAAGAGAATGCTTGATGAGATAGGACTGAATCAACAGCAAGTTCCAATCAAGAGTGGCAGCCAAAGTGCAATTTTCTTGTGCAAAAATCAAGTCTTTCATGAGAGGTCAAAACACATCGATGTCAGACTCCATGTTATTAGGAATTTAATTGAAGACAAAGTCATCAAGGTGGAGAAGATTCCTGGTAAAGAAAACCCAACAGATATGTTCACTAAGGCTGTTTCTTTGGACAAGTTAAGACTCTTTAAGAGCCTACTGCATATTGAAGAAAGTTAGAGACAGATTTCCAAGGCAATGAGGAATGGCAAAAATCAAATGCCAAGGTGGAGATTTATTGTGGTGTGGTATTGATTTATGCCTACGTGGAAGTCAGAATTATAACTTGGGTTGTCAAAGTTACATTATTAAAAGCAAATGGGCGTTTGAGGAATTTCCCAATTGGGATTTTGTGTAACCTAACCTAAATTGGTTTGGTCAATTGCAGGTGTGCTCCATTCTCGATATTTCTCTCTTGGTTACAGAGAGAGAAAGGTTGTTACAAATGGTTGAGCTAGAACCTTGAAGATCGTTAATGGGATCAAATGGTGTTGGTAGGTTTAGTTTGTTTTTCTGATTCCTTTCTCTTTGTGTATAAAAATGTCCATTAACTTCTGGTTTTTTATATGTATGAGAGGTGAGCAACATCTAGGTTTTTCGGGTGTATTACAGGGGGTTTTTTCTCTCGGGATCCTTTGTGTAAAGAAGAGAGCTGCAATCTCTATAAGGTTTCCTTTTTCTCATAGTGAAATTTTCTTTACTACCCTAAAGAGTGGATGTAGGTAATCGAATTGATTACCGAACCACTATAATTCCTTGTGTATAGTTTTGTCTTCTGCTCTTTTTCTTTATATTTTTACTTGTGTATTAGCTACTGATTAGAAACTTAGGGTTGCTTGTTTTGCTTTATTCGGATATCTCATGTTCTACATATATATAACCTTTTCTTCAATGGTAGCAACTCTTTTACAGAAAATCTTTCATTGACTCAACAAAATTTGCTAGGATTATGCCTTTCAAGGCCTCGACTTTTCTTGGGTTTCTGCGAACACAAGCTCAGATCGATATTATACTAGCAATACAACGTCCTAAGGAGCCCAAATTAATTGGTCTGAAAATTAAGCTGGTGGTCATCTAGCTACCACTTCTAAAAGTGTAACTTCATTAACTAAGCAAATTGCTGGTGGTATAATAAAATTATTTTGATCGTCTTCATCATCATTTTGTTTCAAGAAAGCAAGCGCTTTGGGATTTAGTGTACTAGTGGTTTCATTTTTGAACAACGAAGAAACTTCCAACGTAGATGGTCTATCATTTCGGTTTTCTTGGACACATAACAAAGTTATTTGCAAGCATCTCATTAACTTACACGAAGATTGTGTATCATCCAGTGACGGATCCATAAATTCTGTGCCTTTTCCACTTTTCCAAAGTTGATAAGCCTGGAAAATTATTGATGGTTAAATATCCTATAATTCAAATGCTTGCCAAAGTTTGATCCAAATTACTCAATAAGTCTTTGGGGAACACTTACATGCTCTAGAAGGCTTAAATTTTCATTCACTCCATATAAACTGGCAATCACTCTCTTGCCACTTATAATTTGTAGAAGTAAAACGCCAAAACTGTAAACATATGATTTAGTAGAGTATGTGCCTCTTCTAACATATTTAGGAGAAATATAGCCCCTGAATTGGAATAATTATTACCAACATGAGACTAAATATATGCATCTATGAAAACTAAAGCTTGAACAGTACTCACATTGTTCCAACAATCCTTTCTGTGTTTGCTTCAACATCATCTTTTACAAATATTCTAGCCATGCCAAAATTTGAAATTTTTGGCTTTATATTTTTATCCAATAAAACATTACTAACTTTTAAATCTTGATGAATGATAGTCCATCTTGAATATTCTTGTAGATATAAGAGTCCTTGAATAATCCCTTCAATGATATCCACACGTTTTTTCCAATCCAAGTTGAAAGTGTCTAATGGGATCTGCGCATGAAATTTAATAGTGAAAACTCAGCAAAAGTATGTACTATGTTTGTTTATTTACTGTGATTGAAAGCAATAGAAAATTGTTGACAGTAAAGATAGTAATCCAAACTTTTATTTGGCATTTACTCATAAATCAGCATCTGTGCTTCTCTGTCAATGCAAAAACCCAAAACTCTGACAAGATTTACATGTTGGAGCTTCACAGTTAGAGAAACCTCATTCTTGAATTCCTCAAATCCTTGTGTTGATGTTTTTGCAAGATTCTTGACTGCTATTATCTGTCCATCTAGTCGAGTGGCCTGGCAAAAGTTACAGTAATGGCTTGTAAATTTCAGTAGTACTATAACAGAACATTGATAAACTAACAGAGAAACAATTAGCATAGCAATCGTATGTTACCTTGTAAACAGGGCCATATCCACGCTCCCCGAGCTTATTTTCAATTGAAAAATTATTTGTAGCTCCCTCAATCTCAGCTGAAGTATATTCTTTCAGATTAGGAACATTGTGATGAAAATCTCCAACAGCTGCAGCTTAATTTATGTTGTTTTTTAATTGATTAACTGAGCCCATTGTCCCAGCTGTTAGCAAAAAAGATGGTTTTAATTGAATTGGCAACATCTTCCACTCATTGTTACTAAAATATATGGGACATTAATGCTGGTGGTAATGCAGTGCATGTCTAGCTTCGAACAAGAGTTACCTTTTAATTTGAGCTTTCTTATCCAGTAACAGTATAGCACAATGGCTAGAAGAAGAATAACAGATGCAGTTGTAGTCCAAATTATCACTAACAACTGCAACTTAGTATGTCCATTTATATTGTCTTCCTCATCAGCTGCTCAAAAACAATAGTTAGAAGATAAAAAAAATAAATAAATAACCAAAAGCTTGAGGTGCCATGAAAATAATTGTATTATGCAAAAGAAAGAATCAAACAGGTTACAATACTTCAGTGTTGCTTACCTGCAGCTTGTCATAAGAAACCTGCCACATAAAGTATCATCAAAAGCAATCCACTCTGTCCCGATTGTGAAGCAGTTCACCACATAGGTTTCATTGTACATAATTCCAGCTCAATATTTCTGAATGAGATTCAATATCTCTTCATAGTTCTGAAATCCATATTTATTAAGGGCAGGTCCTGTGGCTGGTGCACCAACACCATTATCCTCAAGGTTCAAAAGTGTCCATGCAAATCCATAACAAGGCAAACACAAATCCAACCTTCTAGATGATAACCCTCCATATTCCTCTATCCCATGATCAGTACTTGCAGAACTATTTGGGTCAAAAAGAGCTGCATGAGGGCCTGTAACATTCATCCGCATAGGCGTGTAGCAGTCAGTAGCCATAACATGAACCCAGTTCAAGTGTCGTTGCAGCGAATCTATGGGGTAAGTTCTTGGATAATTCCCTGGTGAATGTCCAACCATTGCTGTCAAGAGCAGTTGTGACTGTCCAGAGTTTCTAGCCTCTAATTCGATTGCATCTTGCCATTCTCCAGAGAGAGTACCCATGTTAAACACATCAGATCCTGTCCTTGGGTACATCCAGCAAAGGTCTAGGCCTTGAAAGTCATAAAATCGAGCCATTTTAATTGAAGAATCAATGAAAGATTTTCTATAAGAATAGTTGCTTACCATTGAAGAAAAATTTGTATAATTAGCACGTTGGCCCCCGATGGATAGAAGTGCAGTGACCGATGGATTTTTTTGTTTCAAAGCGACTGTGAACTTGGCGAATTGCTCTTCCTCGGAAGGTGTTAAAGAGAGCTGGTAGGAAGTGGAATCGAGATTGGCGAAACCGCAAAGAAGGTGAGTGAAAATAGAAGGATTTATGTGTGAAATGGGAAACTCGCTGCTCGAGTCCCAGTAACCAGCCTTGATCCACGTTTGTGCTTTTGCAGGATGCAATTTCAAAGAGATCAAGAAGATGTGGAAGACGAAAATGATTTTTTTGGTTAATACCATTTATCAAAAGTTCTTGAAGCAAAACTTTGATGAATTTGGAGATGAAAAAGTAACAATGTACATAAATATATGCACGGCATGGCTCTTTGATGCTTATGTTCTCTAAAATTATGCAAAATGTATGGACAGTCATGGACGGACTTATCTAAGATATATCCTGAGAGTGAAACTTAATTATTCCAAGTTTAGTTAAGTAGAGTTGACCTGGTCACTTAGTGATGTAAAGATAAAGCTCTCCATATTTTGTAGTTTTCCTTTTTACAGAAAGCCGGCAGCTTTGAGCTTTCCCATGGCCGTGTTTAGTATACGACTCGAGTATGTCACAGAACAATATTAGACTTTTAAAAATGTTTAAATTGTATTAAATATTACACATTTTTATTGAAAAAATAAAGATAGAAACTAATAATGTAATAGCCCGTATTTTTATGGAATTTTAGTAAATTTTATTTTGTGAATTTTGTTTGGGGGTAAAGTGCAAGGGGGTAAAGTGCGAGAATTCGAAAGCTTTGTGCAACGTAAAGGTAATAGCCGAAACAAGTAAGGACTAAAGTGAAATTTACCGGATATTTTGTTGAACAGTATTCGATCAAAGAGAAGAAAAAACCGAGAAGAAGAAGAAAAGAGAGGAAAGAAAGAAGAGAAGAAAGAAAAGAGAAAAAAGGGGAAGAAGAGAAAGAGAGAAAGAAAGGAAAGAAGGGAAAGAAAGATGAAACCGAGAAGAGAGAGAGAGAAGAGTAGAAAGGGATGGAAGTGGCTGCCGGCGAGAAAACTCCGGTGATGGGAAAGAGTAGAGGAAGATTTAGCAAATGGGTGATGGGTAAGCTTATTATTTCCCCTTTTTGGTGATTATTGGTTTCTTTGATTTGTGCTGTTTATGATTGAGTACAATGATATGAGATTAAACTAAAATAGGAAGATTGATTTCAATAATGTTACGTGGGTAGAACATATATGTTCCTAAACAAAAATTAGTTAAAGATATGATTTTTTATATAAGGGTCTACTGTGCAAAAATCTGACCATCTGAAATTCCGAGAATTTTATACATGCTTTGAGTTTTCGTTTGAAGCTTAAATTCGGATATGTTGTTGTAGACTTCTTGAGGAGAGTTTTAAAATTTATTTTACTCAAAAACTCGAAAGTATTGGATTTTCTATGGCTTTTTGAAGTCTGCCCTGTGAATTCTGGAATTTTCGTTTTCTACAGGACATGTATTTTAGTAAATGATTATACTTCTATTCTTATCCAAATTGAATGATTTGAAATTCTGGTGAATCATGTATGTGTCTTGTTTGATTCTGGAGAGTTTCGTGAGGTTTCGATTAAGGGTTAAATTGATATGAATTTTTCAATTCAGTAACCTCAATGCTGGAAACAGTTGGCAGTTTTGAAAAGACTGAAAGAAAATCATGTTTTAAATAGTTTTTGGTTCTGGAATGGCTTAAGAAAATTATAGGAACAACATATGTGTGTCTTGAATGCCCCATTAAAATTTTAGCTTGATTGAGTGAATGGAGTTTATATGAAAAATCCGAAAGTGATCAATGTTCTGTCATTAAGCAGTTTTTGGTTTAATAGAGAATTAAGTTAATCCGTTGGTGGATGTTGATGTGTTACTATAGGGAGACTTTTGCATGAAGAGACCATTGGACTTCGAATTAAAGAGGATTCCGATCCTTCTTCGGATCAAGAAAAGGTGACATGATTAGTAATTGAATTAACAAATTCATGCATCTTCAATTTATATTTAGTTGGATTAATGTTTGTTTATGCTGTCTGCCTTGTTGGTTTTATAATATATTTGAGTTTTGGAAATAGTATGTCTTACTAGCTTGGAATAAATTGTTAGCATGCATTTTGTATACTTATGGAGTATGAGCTTCGGCAAAGTGATGAACTATGGGAGGTTTGCATGTGTAGACTTTGAATATTTAATTGTCTATGACCCTTTCCTGTTGATGGAAATTGGATATTAATTTGGAATCTGCAGGTCTGATTATTTTGGGCTGTGTGGGTGTAGTGTGCATGGGATGTTTTACTAAAATATGGGACGTTGGAAATGGGTGGTGTGGAGTAGTTGCATGCACTAGGTTGTCTTATAAAAATGAACTTTGTTGGAACTATATTTCATGCATGGCCTGCCTTTGAACTGAATTTTGGTTGGGTAAAACTGCCCTGTTTGATGGAGATGTTGTTGGAGCTATATATATAGGTGAATTAGAAAGAAGTCCAGTATATATAGGTGAATTGGAAAGAAGTCCAGTAAATAGGTGGCTTGGTTGGTTAAATTAATTAGATTTATTAAAGGATTAGTGAGCTTGATGGTGTTGATGGGTTTAATTGGCTAAGTGGGCCGGCCTATTATTAATGAGGCCTAAACTGTATTGAATGGATTTTTGGGTTTTATTGTTGTAGTGGGCTGGTCTATAAATAATATAGCTCAATTATGTGTTAGAGGTATTGGATCTTATAATTAAGTTGGTGGGCTTGATTGCTTTGGTCGGCATAAGGCCTAGATTTCTTTGCTTTGGGCTGGTATTTGATTGTAATTGGTGGAAGGATTCCCAGGGGGCAGATTGTAAATTTGTGAATATTGAAGCACCGGTAGGGGGCTAATTGTAAGGTTTGTAACCTTTGAGACTATATCATGGGGGACAAACGTGAGGTGTAAATTGATATTTTGTAAGTTGGTATACTTCAGAATATTACACTCGTTTTACATGCTGGCGTTATTAAGAACCATATGGTACCCATATTCAAATATTGCATGAAAGCATGCAATATCATTAAAGGTTGGGAAATTCGAAGGTGTGATTGTGGAAGTTTTAATCATATAGTAGCCACCTTTCTAGCACTCGTCTCCCTTCAAACATCAGCTAATACTTATATCTGACCTCATGTGCACAATGAAAACATGTCATCCTGAGGATAGACTATGGATGATACCACCCCGAGGATAGACTGTGGGTGGGATATTATTACTTGATACCCTGAGGATAAACCTTGGGTGGGAATTGACGGACTATACCAGGTGGATGTTAGCCTAGGTAGATTATGATGCCCCGGGGACAGAACTTGGGTGGGATTTGATGAATTATATCAAGCAGATATTGGCCTGGGTGGATTATGATACCTCGAGGATAGACCTTGAGTGGGATTTGATGGATTATACCAAGCGGATATTGGCCTGAGTGGATTATGATACCTCGAGGATAGACCTTGGGTGAGATTTGATGAATTACACAAAGCGAATATTGGTCTGGGTGGATTATGATAATCAATGATAGACCTTGGGTGGGATTTGACGAGATGACACCAAGCGGGTATTGGCTTGAGTGGGATCTGATTAGCCTCATGCACGTATTGAGATGACTTGTACTACAAACAATGTCGATCTATACCATCCTACCAGGACATGACGGCTGCTTGACAAGCTCCAGGCGAGATTACACCCTGAGGATAGATCGTGGGTAGGATATTGATACTTGATGCCCCGATGATAGACTGTGGGTTGAGTATTGTTATCCTGTGATGATTTGGTCATCCCGAGGATAGACTGTGGATGATGCCACCCTAAAGATAAACTGTGGGTGGCTTAGTTGGTTGTCTGTATTAGGGGACCCTGGGTGCTAGTGTGATGGTGGTGGTGGTGGTGGTGGTTGTATTAACCAAATGAAAGGAAATTTTGGATATCCAACGGGTATAAGTTGGGATGAAAATTATGGATCCAACGGGATAGGGACCACCTGGGAGGGGACGTAACAAATACATTTAAAAAAATAAATTAAAAAATAAAAAATAAAAAAGTGAAACTGAAATTTTTTTGAAAAAGTGAATCTAAAAAATTTTAAAAAATTCTGGGGGGAAAAAAAAAAACAAAATCTGTAAAAATAAAAAATAAGATAATCTAAAAATTCATACCAAATAGGAGATAGTCTTTGATAAAAGTATTCACAACAGAAAATACGAGTTTACACTGAAATTTTTCTGTGTCTGCAATGTGTAAATGGAAAATGATATTTGTTGAGTGTAAAAGCTATTGCTATTCAATGAAGAAAACTTATATGGGAACAAGATATTTGTTAAACTATAGTCTGAGAAAATTTCAACTTTTTGAAGTCTTTATTTTAGCTAATGTATTACAGCATTATTTGGCATCGTCCATTTTCAATCATCAATATGTAGCTCCAAATATTATTTCCTCGTACAGCATTCACCTAATATAGTTTAAAGCTTCCCACGCCGCATCCCCCCCCCCCCCCCCAAACAATTCCTTTGTAAGTTGGTAATATTGAAAGTCAACCAAGTCCATGACTTGGGATAATTTTTCAAAAGTGACATAAACAAATATCAAAGATTACATATTCACCACAGATAAACTTGCTTTACGCACCTTTCCATTAATGGCATCCAAAATTATTATCAAGTGTTGCCTTTGGTATTTTCCTCTCTTCAGCAATATTACAACCTGCAAGAGCATAAGCTTGGATCAGTGACGGTTATTAGTATAAAGTTAGCAGTTTCGCCATTTCCTACCATCACGGTACACTGACCATGCAGCCAAGGCGTGTACTACCGGACGGCGGCTGTTTCTCAGATTCTGTCAGTTGGGAAACAAAAGAAAACCAATAGCCATCTAAAATTGGTTTATTTCAATTTAGTCTATTTCATGATTTATTTTAATTTGATATTCTATTTTATTAATTTTTATTTAATTAAATCTGACATGTCTCCAATTATGAGTGGTTAGAGGTACCAACTTAGATTTCTGAGTTAGTGCTTCTGTTGTAGTGTAGATTTTCTCTTGGTAATATTGTTGACGTGGTACCATAAGCTAGTGCATGTATGTCAGGTAGTTATTTTATATGTGTCACAAAGTCACTAGTTGATGGTATGGATGATATAAGGTCACCGTGGTATTCTAAATTCTTTCTCAAGGTTAATGGTGAAATAGTATCTCTCTACAAAAAGGCATGAGGAGCTCCCATGTCAATCACTTCCATTCCTCTGGTTAGACCATATGTACCACTCATGGCTACAGTTCGAACTCGATTATTTCTTAATAATTGCTGTGAGAAAGAAAATTCTAAGGTGACATAAAAAAATTCACCAGATCATAGTATTAAAACATGATCAATTCAAAGTTGCTTCTGTTCCCTAATTCTTACTCGGGTGAACATGGAATTAAAATGGTGTATTCCAGGGCATATTACCAAATGGAGAGGATAAAAGAGCAGTAAACTTTCAGCAACACATGGATATAAAGAATTCAGAATAACGTTGGTTCTTGGAAGCTTCATGTCAAGCCTGTCCAAGTTTTGGGGTTACCCAACCGCTTCCTTCTCTCCATGAATTAATATTTAAAACTGATTATCATTCACCAAGAGTTGAAACCTAGCAATAGTTTATAATTAGAGAGTTGAAACCTGGCAATAGTTTATAATTGGAGAGTTGAAAGTTGCAACCAAGCAATAGTTTATAATAAGGTAGACAATTATTATAATATGACAATGTTTACTTGATCGATTCTTATGTCGATGTAATCAAAATAAATTTCACATCATAAAATATTTATTTTATAAATCACCAATACATAGTCGTTATGTGGGGTCAAAAAGAAAAAAGGGAAATATGCATATATATTTCCATCAATCATTCTAAGATAGGAGTAAATCTCCGGTACAATGGATCCGTATAATTTTGACTAATTTTCCCGTACTTTTATATATTTCAACATTTATTCTAAAATTTTTGTATACGTCATTGACTGGTGAGTTATTAAATTTTTGGACAGCTAGGTGCAGACACCGTCATTTGAACATATTATTAAATTAGATAAGTTATTAAATTAATAGATTTTTGCTTCGACATCGGATCAATTTAGATCATCAGATACCAATTCGTCAGCAAAAATAAAGTCAAAAATAGCTCGTCCTATTTAATCATGCCCCTCGTTTTTATTTTTTTATAAGAGAAAGTAGAAGATTAAGGATGTAGTTTAGAATTCTTTCTCCACCAACTCAATAACTTGTAGAGAAATTAAACTCTTTTATTCGTTTTTTGATAATTCGTTTTCTGTTTCAATATGCTGATAAATACATTTATCATCTTCAATCTTCAGCCCATTGATATATGAATATAAATTCAAGAGATAAATACAGATAGAGTGCTGGCATTTTAAGCCTCTAGCTTTCCCAATGGTGTCCAATATTATCATTGTTTTGTTCCATATTTTCATCTCCTTTCAAATATGCACTTCAATGGCGCAAACTAATAACGTCAGGGTTGGTTATTACTCGTATTCAAGACATGACTTTCCTGTTGCGAACATAAATTTTTCCCTCTTCACTCACATTATTTGTGCTTTTGCTCGTATAAATTCCACCTCCTACCAACTCTCTTTATCGCCCGATGAAGAAAAACTCTTCTCCAACTTGACAGAAACTGTGAAACAAAAGCACCCTTCTGTCACTTCACTCTTATCCCTTGGAGGTTCAAAAGTAAATGTTTCAATCTTTTCTTCCATGGCAAGTAATCCTTCTCATAGAAAATCTTTCATCGACTCCTCCATAGAAATAGCTAGGCTTTACGTTTTTCAAGGTCTTGACCTAGCGTGGATATTTCCGATCAATAGCTCTGATATGTCCAACATGGGTGTTCTCCTTCAAGAGTGGAAATCCGCCGTCGCTTTAGAGGCAAGAAACTCTAGCCAGTCAGAACTAATCTTGACAGCAATGGTTGAATATTCACCATTCATGTCTTCAAGAAGTTACCCTATAGAGGCAATACAAAAATACTTAAACTGGGTCAATCTTGGAGCTGCTGGCTACCACAACCCTCAAAAGGAGAATGTTACAGGCGCTAACGCAGCTCTTTACGACCCGAATAGTGATGTTTATACAGATCAGGGTTTAAGGGAGTGGATGGATGGAGGATTATCTGCAAATAAGTTGGTTTTGCGTTTGCCTTTATACGGCTATGCATGGAAGCTTGTGAACCCTGAAGACAATGGCATCGGTGCACCGGCAACAGGACCGGGAATTACAAAAAATGGATATCTGAGCTATAAGGATATCAAGAATCACATTAAAGGATCTGGTCATAAAATTGATGTCAAATACAACTCAATTTATGTGGTGAATTACTACACAATTGAATCATTTTGGATTGGCTTTGATGATGTTGAGGCTATCAGAGGTAAGGTTTCTTATGCCAAGGAGAAGAAGCTACTGGGTTACTACGTGTGGCGATTGGGATTTGATGATAATTGGGTGCTTTCTCAAGCAGCAGGTAATAATCTTGATTGTTTCACTCGATAGTACTAATTTTAATTAAGATCTTTATGCCATTTATAGTTAATATGATGATTATTTTTTCAGCTGAGGCGGATATTAACAACTCTTTCGATCAAGAGGATAGTAAGAGACCTTTGTTAGCCATTATTTTGTCTTCAACAGCAGCTGTTATTCTTCTACTAGGATTGTTTGTGATATATTATTGGCGGAGGAGAAAGCTCGAATCAAGAGGTAAATTTTTCTAGCTATATTATGGGGTTCTTCAATCAACTAAGGTGGATATAAATGTTTATGATCTAAAAAGTAAATTTCCGACACTGAATTATCTTAATATTTTTAGTATCTGGAAATTAGTTACCAATTTTGAAGTAAAAAACTAAAGAAAATAGAAAGAAAAAAAAATGATTTGTTTTTTATCTTATGATATTACATGATGTTTAAAATTTGTTTTTAAAAACTATTTTTAAAAACATTTAACATCATATATTACCAAATGTGTTTTCTTAGATCTTTTTCTGTTCGTTAATAGAGATGCCAGACTGGGTGAAACGATCCAAGTATACAGTTAATAAAGCAGCCGTAGATTTTAGCAGCAGTGTTCCTAATCTGGTGGAGTACACAATGAATGATATTGAGGCAGCTACAAATAGATTTTCAATTGAAAATAAGCTTGGGCAGGGTGGATATGGTCCTGTTTACAAGGTAGTATATATATATATATTCAATTTTCATGCTGTAGAATTTGGCTCCGACTATTTTGGCTTGAGGAAGAAAAATAATTAACTGCAAATTAGTTTTTCTACCAACCATATATGGGTGTATTTTGCTAGGGAGTACTATCGGATGGACAGGAAATTGCAGTGAAGAAACTTTCAAAAACATCCAAACAAGGATATGAGGAATTCAGGAATGAAGTTATGCTTACTGCAAAGCTCCAACATATAAATCTTGTTAGAGTTTTGGGTTATTGCATTGACAGAGAAGAACACATGCTAGTCTATGAATACATGAAAAACAAAAGCTTAGACTATTTCCTATTTGGTATGAATTTTCTCGGTGTGGTTTTTTTGGATTTAATATTTCCTCCTTTATGAGTGGTACTCCAGATGGTAAATATAGCATTGATTATTACTTCATAAATAAATTTGATGCAGACCCCAATAGACATTATGCTTTCGATTGGAAAAAGCGTGTGCAAATTATTGAAGGGGTTACTCAAGGGCTTCTATATCTCCAAGAATTCTCAAGATTCACCATTATTCATCGAGATTTGAAAGCTAGTAATGTTTTGTTGGACAGAAATATGAAACCTAAAATATCAGATTTTGGTATGGCTAGAATTTTTGTAAAAGAAGATGTTGAAGCAAACACAGAAATGATTGTCGGAACAAGGTAAGTATATTTTAATATTTTCTTTCAATACTATTACATACTCAATTTAATATGGTTTAGTAACTGTTTATAATTCCTAACACTGGGGCTATGTTCCTCCTGAGTTCTTGAGAAGGGGTATATACTCTACAAAGTCTGATGTTTATAGTTTTGGTGTCTTACTTCTTGAAATCATGAGTGCAAAAAGAGTTAATGGGCGCTTAAATTTCCTAGATTATGTAAGTTTCTCTTGGAACCCTTAGTATTTGGTATATGTAGTCATCTCTAATATGAACGTGTTGAAGTTTTTAAATTATGGATTAAAGGCCAATTGCTAGTCGTTGGCCTCTTAATAAGAAATAGTCCAAAGTTAGTGACTAATCACTAACAAGATAAGGTATCAAAAGTACTTATATTTTATCATCTTTAGGCATATGAGTTGTGGAAAGATGGCAAAGGGATGGAGTTTATGGATCCATCGCTAGATGATGCAACTTCCTCTTATAAACTCAAAAGATGCTTACAAATAGTTTTACTATATATCCAAGAAAACCCAAATGATAGATCGTCCATGCTTGAGATTTTCAAGATGCTAAAAAATGAGTCAAAAGATATCGGTATTCCAAATTGGAAACAAAAAGATGGAAATGAACAAAATGAAGATAAACAGAAGGCAGAAATTTGTGGAGAGAGCAGCTCATTTAATGATGTGACAATGTCAGATATTGTAGCTAGATGAGTTACTATAGACTTTATGAGATGCATTTATCTATATGTTACCTTTTTCGGATTTATCTTTAATTTTCTTATATTTTATAAAATATCATTAATATTTTAGGATTTGGTTTTATATTATACTTTTTCTTAGTATTACTTTCATCATAGTTTAAAGTTTATCCTTACACTTATTATTATGCAATTGCAGAATCGGGAAAAAAAGTTTGAAGGGGCTAAACATGTTTAACGAATGAGGGAAATCAAAGTATAGAAGTTTATTTAGAAAAAAAAAAAAAAAAATTGCATTTAATGGGAATAAATGATTGAGTTTAGGAAATAAAGCCAAAGTTAGAAATAATTAGAAAAATATGAAATAAACATTTTTACATTCAAAAACTGTTGTAAACCCAGCCCCGGCTAAAAGCTTAAAGGGGCAGTCTGACACTTTTATTATATCCAAATAGTAACTCACGTTAAGTTGCCACTTTACATAACCTTAAAAGCTTAAGTTAGTCAACTAGGAATATTAATTAATACTTAAGTCTAATGTTAGAAAATTCACAATCGTAGACTAACATTAATTATGATTTGGTTTGATAAAACTAGATAAATATATAGTCCAATGAGATATCATAATTGGCTTGTATGATCATTCCAGAATTTATCTAATATACTTTATTTTATATAATTTAGGTTGATGACAAGTGTGAGCTTGAGTCTTTAATAAGCTTTAAAGTTGATTGGACCTTCAATGGGAGGGCCCAATAATTGATATATATTGGCTAGACCATCTTTCCAAAATGCAATTATATAATGAACCTCATTTTGAAGTCAATATTCTAAAGCAAATTCAAGAAATTTAGAAACTATAATAGAATCAGGTTTTCCTAATATTTAATCTTTAAATTTAGTATTATATAATCAATATGTAGATCTTGGGATTAATTGTTAGAATTGAGTGAAATTCATGTTAGAATTCCTACAAATTAAACCTAAAAATAACTTATATTAGAGGTTGGTACAATACTTAAAAATGAAAAAAAAAATCGTATGATTCAAAAATAACGAAAATGAACGAAATGAAGCTAGCCATAAAGAAGCTGGAAATTTGTCCAAGGAGCACTTCAATTATTTACGTAACAATTTCAGGAATTGTAGCTAGATGAAATTGAAGAGGTTTTTGGCACAATAATGTGCTCCTCGGAGAGTGGCTTTGAAATAAAGTAATAAAACTATGGACAGCTAGGTATGAATGACGTTATGTGAACACATTACTAAATTAAATAACTCANCTTGTCTATAATGATAAGGGTGCTTTAATTCAAGTATTGAGGTCTTATCGTTGTTAAACGCATATATATTGTCAATTATATGTTTATGATTATTAAGAAGAAAGTATGCTGGGTTATTTTGCAAAGATTAAAAGTCAAATGGCTTGAATTTCAATTAAGCAAAATGTAATACACTGTCATTTTATACAGTGTAACAAACTATAAATATGTTTGTTTTCTGTTAAAGACTTAGTTATTAAAAAATCAATGAATTTCAGAATATTCATCTTTCTTCTCAGCTCTGTTTTTTGTTTTTCTTGGTTTCTTTAACTTTCTTGATTCTTCATCTCAATACTGAATTTCTACATGGTATCAGAGCCCTAGACAAGCGTCTATGGTTAATAGCTTTGAATCTTCAAGTTTGAATTCATAATCAACTGATATGGATAATGTTAACACCAACTTTACTACCTCAAACACTACACCCTCTTTACCAACGATTTCGGTGAAATTGCTGGAGAAAAACTACTCATTTTGGCGTTCGCAGATCCTACCAGCTCTGGTCTCCCATGGAATCGATGATTTTGTTACCGGAGAAAGAATCTGTCCTCCTTCATTTGTGTTCGATAAAGCTGATGAATCTGGGCAAACTATCAAGAAGTCAAACCCTAACTATTCCTCTTGGAAAAAGATCGATCAATTCCTGGTGAGTTGGTTGTATTCTACACTTTCAGAATCAATGTTTCGTCATGTTGCTAAATGTAGCACTGCTTATGAGATTTGGAGTACTTTAGAGCTTCATTTTCAATCTGTTTCTAGAGCTAGGACTCTGCATCTTAGAAATTTGTTGCAATGCACTAAGAAAGAAAATTGTACTGTTAGTGAATATGTGTTGAAAATGAAGGATTTGGGAGATGAACTGATAGCTAGTGGTGTGAATATAACTAATGAGGAGTTGTTACTCTATATACTGGATGGCTTAGGGCTGGAACATGACGCAGTAGTGGCCAATTTGACCTCCACTAGTAGTCAAACGACACCACAAGAGGCTCAATTTTTATTGCATAAACATGAAATTAGGCTTGAAAGGCAACATAATGTGTTCTCTAACTTTCATGAAGCTTTTCTGGTGTCCAAACAGCAGAGTCAAACTGATTCTTTTTCAGGTCCTCATCATGTCAATCCTACCTTAACCCCAAACTCTCAGCCTCAAATACACTCCCAGCCTCAACCATCCCTCTCACAATTCAATCCTAATACTTGTCAGTTTACTGGAAACAATATGAGTCAAGGCTTTTCTAGATCAGGCTTTGGTCTGCCACATCAACAATCACTCTTTCAGTTTCCAGTGACGAGTGAAGGTTTTAATCCTTTTAATCAGTACCAGGTTTATAACTCACAATTAGTGCGTAGTAGGGGATGAGGAAGGGGTTATTTTAGACCCAAACTGATCTGTCAAGTCTGTGGTAAAGGTGGACATTCTGCCCTGCAGTGTTACCACAAATTTGATCATACTTACCAATACCAAAGTTTTGGAGTTGCTAGAGTTGGTTCATCTAATAATTCTCTTGGCTATAATGTTGAATCTAGTTCTCAAGGATCTTCCCACTTCAATGCCTCCCAAAGCCCAGCTCAAATTCCTCAGTCAAACAACTCAGCACAAGCACTTCTGATGACAAAGACTACTATGGTAGATCAGTTATACAACAAGTCAGCCTCTACTTCTTACAATGGTTCTGGATTTTCTGGAGTTTATCAGCAGAATAATAATTACCCTCCTCCACAAAATCTGACCTCTCAAGTGTTTTCACCCACAGTTGGATCCTCTAGTGTTACTTCTTTACTTGAAGGAAGTCAGTCTTATTTGTCCTCTGCACATGATTCTCATAGTATACCCATTGCCAATCCTCATACAGTTATGGATCAGACCTGGTATGTTGATTCTGGAGCAACTAACCACATGACAGCAAATATGAGTAACCTGGTTATCAAGGACAATTATCAAGGTGGCTCCACAGTTCAAGTGGGCAATGGACAAACAATTCCAGTCTCCCAAACAGGTGTGTCCTTTCTCAACTCACAAAATTCTCCTAGGATCTTGCATCTCAAGAATGTGTTGTGTGTACCACATATAGCAAAAAATTTGTTAAGTATATCACAAATTACTAAAGACAATGGAGTTATTGTTGAATTTCACTCTGACCATTGTCTTGTAAAGGATAAGTGCACTCAAGAGGTACTGTTGCAAGGCTTCTTGAAGGATGGTCTGTATCAGCTGAAAGGTTCTTGCTCATCTGTGGCTTCTTCTATTGGAGGTGCTTCTAGTTCTAAAGCTTTCTGTCATGTTGCTGTTGTCACCAATACAAGTACTAGTATTAGTAGTAGTGATGATAAGACATGTCATGTCCCTGATTGTTTCAGTCTTACACCAACTGTTAGTAACTCAAATAAAGAGAGTGTATCTCAAATAAGCAAGTCTGATGTACTATTGACAGCATTGTGGCATGCTCGGTTGTGGCATCCACAAGTTAAAACTCTCAAGGATATTATGAATAAAATTCATGTTCATGGTTGTTTTGATAATAAAATGTTTTGTGAAGCATGTCAATTTGGCAAAATGTCACAGACTTCTTTTCCCATTTCTGCATCCAAATCCACAAGACCTCTTGAGTTGGTGTATTCGGATTTATGGGGCCCTGCTCCAATTTGCTCTTCCGAAGGTTTTAAATATTATATATTATTTGTGGATGACTATAGTAGATACATGTGGATATATCCACTTAAGCTTAAATCTGAGGCATTTAAAGTTTTTACACATTTTCATAAGTTTGTTGAGAATCAGCTGGATGTTAAACTCAAGACTCTGCAAACTGACTGGGGAGGTGAATTCAGGTCTTTTACTGAATATTTAAAAGAGCATGGCATTGGTTTTAGACATCCATACCCTTATCTACATCAGCAAAATGGTAGAGTTGAAAGGCGGCATAGAACAATCACCGAATTTGGATTAACACTGCCAGCACATGCTAGTATGCCTTTGTGTTTCTGGTGGCAGGCCTTCTGTACAGCCGTTTACATTTTTAACAAACTTCCTTCATCTGTTCTTCAGGATCTCTCTCCTTACCAACAATTGTTTCAGCAAGAACCAAACTATGGTGAGCTAAAGGTATTTGGCTGTTCATGTTACCCTTACATCAGACCATATCAGAAGCAGAAATTCTCCTATCACAATGAAAAGTGTCTTTATAGGTTATAGTCTTGCACATAAAGGGTATAAGTGCCTTTCCTCCACAGGAAAGGTTTACATAGTGAAACAGGCAAAGTTTGATGAGACTATTTTTCCATTTAAGCTTGGTTTCAAATGTTATCTTATTAAGGATGAAACTGCAGGAGGGCTCAATTCTCATACTAATACAGATAGTTTTTTGTCCTCATGGAATCTTGGTAATTGCTTGAACAAAAGTAATGTTTCTTCTGTTACTATGGTAGCATCGTCTGACATACTGCTGCAGTCCAAACTGCTCCTCCTTTTAGTTCTACAGCAGATGTTCATACTATTGATACAGTTCAGCCTACTCCTCTTTTTAATTCTACATCAGATGTTCATGCTACTGATGCAGTTCAGCCTATTCATACTACTGATGCAGTTCAGCCTATTCCTCTTTTTAATTCTACAGCAGATGTTCATGCTACTGATGCAGTTCAGCCTATTTCTCCTGTTAGTTCTACAGCAGATGTTTATGGTAATTCA